TAAACAACTCTCATGTACATGAAGATTGATTGTAGTATCTACGCAAGATGTTGTTATCGTTAATTACAGATGTCAAAATTTATTATTGCCTTATTTATAAAATTAAAAATAATTAAATATCGACGGTGTACCATACACAAACCTTTATATTGTTCTAAGACTTGTAGAAGTTTTATTCAAACTAAAACTTCTGCTTCAAAAAGCTTTTCTTTATCTTTTCTCATCAGAACTTATAACGTAAGAACGTTCTTGAAAAAAGTATCACGGTTTATCCTTTGAGTAGAATTTATTAAAAAGTTCTGCATTACTTTCGATCATTGATAAAAATGATTTTGGATGTACCCTAAATATTTTATTATCTTGCATTCGAAGATGGATTGTTATACTGTATAGTATTTCTGCGAGCTAAAGTGTATCGATTTTAGTGTGAACAATTTTAATAATTTGTCCTCGGTATACACACTTATAGATACACGTAACATTTATACGGACAGTTTCAAGTATCAGCCTCTCCTTAGTCTTGCATTCTTCGCTTCTACGTTTCCCCGTCTTAAATTCTATCTGATACTCATTGACAGATGTAAAAGAAAAATTCAAGATAGCTGGTAATCTAAACCATAAATGCGTGTTTGTTTACAATCTTCGACGTGTCCAATCTCTGAAGGTGTAGCGATCCCAAACTTGAAAAGGAAAATGAGAACTTGGCTGGTTTGCCAACGTGTGTTAACATTAGAGGACACTTTTCATGTTCATTGAATTTTAATACGCATGCAGTAAAATAACATTAATACTTGGAATTAAATCATTCATTGAACAATATTTTGTTATTGGTTGCAAAAATGTCTGTTTCACATCTATTCACTGTAACTACTGTTATTTACCACTTGTAATTGTTATTGGCATTTTAGATAAAAAGTGCACTATCCTGATATTACGAAATTTTTAATTACAAATATCTGTATACTTATTGAATTCTTTCCATTCGCAATGTAATTATTATCAAATAATATATTGTGATACTATTTACTGTATCATGTATCACTCGTGTTTAGGATTTCAAGGCGATTTATGGTGCGTACGTGACTTCTCGTATCATGACAAGGGGGCCTTTCTCAGCATTCATGGGAACATTCACATCTGGCATCATAAACAGATAGAGCGTCTAAATTCGACACTCGAACTTTTCCTTAAAACTCCAAGAACCGAACGACGCACCATAAATCGCTCGAAATGTGAAGAGCGCTTGCGGAACCCCGGGACGGACCCCAGGTCGCACTCCACGCCGGACCACCGGGGTGGGAAAATTACAAGGCCCGGTCTGTCTTAACGAACAAATGGGCGGTACTATTAACAAATTTAGGATTGCCTAGTGGACATCCCCATCTTGCGGAAAACCTCCAAAGGGGTAGGGGTTGGAGTCAATGTGGGAGGTGGGCCAAGAAATTTAGAATCAGAATCAATTCTCACACCGAGGGCAAACGTGCTCCTCGTGTATAGACCAGTATGGTCATCACACATACAGTAAACTAAGTATAGAAACAACGGCTGTTGCCGGCCATCTCTTGATGGTCATCTTCAATATACGAGCGTGATTGTGCACCAGCCACAATTCAACCCGCGCTTGTTAACAACTCGTGTATGTTATTATTTCTAATAAAAAGTTGCATAATCTTGTCGTAATAAAGTGGTATATTATGAATTATTTGTTATTTGTTTTATAAACTTTTAATTATAATCCTCCTTAATAAACGAATCTTTTCAAGAATAAGAACTGCTTCGTATTCAGCTACGAGCAATGCTACGTATTATTATAATCAATTTTTATTTTAATAACGAATAGCAAATAAAATTTTACCGAATCACTCATTTTTTGAAATGAAATTTTATTTTGTACTATTTTCGATTATTTCTTCGTTTAAATCCATATGTCCTATTTATTCATTATGGATCGATTTTATTCGTTACGTTTTATTACGTTGTTTCCAATAACGTTCGTTAAACAATGACAGCAAATATATCGAGTCGGACCGTTCATTAAATATTTTACCCTTGCAAATACAGCCGGATTATTTGTATTTTAAAGCGATATTTTAAACACACGTTGAATCACGATTACGATTTCATGTGTCCAAAGATCGAGCAACCTAACAAGCGTCATTTGCGGATTAAAGCAAACTTTACATACCCTAACAGATCGATCCAAGCGTAGCTGCAGCACATGTTAGAATTTCACTTGATTTATCTTATACCCCTAAGGTCACGGTTAATTTCAGGCTGCCCTGTCGATGTCATATCAGAACTAACAATGTCAAGCTGTTCGCATAGGTGTCAATATCAAATCGATGTCCTTTCAGAAACTCTATGAACTACCCTCGCGATGACGTCAATCTATTTACTAGAAATTAAAGAAAAAGTAAAACCCGACAATCGAAATCCTGCATTCGTTTAGGAGATCCTAACGCCGAAGCAATGAAATGAAATTATGTATTGCTAAAATCGTCGCAGAGTCAATGTCTAGGACAGCGTCGAAGCATACTATTTATAGTGGCAGCAGTTTATGATCAGTTTTAAACTATCGTCATACGTGACGATTCGCTTAAATCGTTACCCAACGATAGTTTTATCAAATATAACTGCAGTGCAAAGAATTTGATTATCGTAAACCATTCTACAAAAACCAAAAGGAGAATTGATTTTATTCTGTTCCATTGCCACTTCATTTTAGAGTGCAAGATACTAAAACTGAATAGGAGTTATTTTTTTTAAGTTTAAATAGAAGAGCAAAATAATTGCTTATTATTTTTATATAGATCTAAATAAATTATTTAAAATAATACAACTTACTTCTCACTTATAAATGGAAATTGTTACTTATTAATTATCATTTAATTGCTTAGCAAATAATCTATCTATTAATATCTAAGCGATATTATTGAATTCACGAAGAAAGACGCACGTTCTTCGATAATAAATATAAATTGGAAATTGATATTTATTACACAATAAACGAAAAAAAAGCAAAAAATTGTTATTTGTTTTCACTTAAAATCGAATAAAAAATAACATTTTATTCGCAAAGAAGAAATAATAAATAGATTATTTGTGGAATTATTTAAATGATATTTTAATTTAAAAAATTTAATTATTATTTGCAAGTGAAACATTAATTTAATTCGTAATTTGTTAATCACATTATTTAACATAATTCTCAAGTCATTTTACAAAAATTAGGGGGGATTAAAGGAAAGTTTCTTTCGTCACCTAAAAGATTATTCATTCGAAAAAGAAAATGAAAATACGATTCAATTATAAGTTGCTTTATATAAGTCCTGCGTATGCCATAAATGCGTATCAATTCGCAGTATACTTGCCAATATTTATAATATTAATGCATATTTGACTGACTCGCGACTTTCATCGATTAGAAGCTATTTAAACTGTACTATTTAAACTGTGCAGTCAAAGTTCTTTTGTTCTGGATAAGCTTTATGTAATGAACTATATATTGTATGTCTAAATAAATCATAGGTATACACTGCAGGAAATTGCAGGCTTCCTTGAGAACCAAGTAGCTTAACCTTCAAGTGGTGACTGTTTTATTATTACCAGTGGCAATGTGATGTCAAATTTACTTCGTATTAATAATGATGATTTGATGACAAATCGACTTCGTGTCAATAATGGTGACTTGTATGTATGGTAAAAATTATAGTTAAAAATTATCACCATTAATTGATACGGTGTCCACTTGACTTTAAGTCACTTGACTTTGTTTACGAGTTATTAACGAAAAACAGTGACCAATGAAAGGCGAGATCAGCTGGCGCGAGGCGGCCGAGCCAATCAGCGGAACTGGGCTTCGTCCACTCGTTGGCTCGGCCGCCTTGCACCAGTCGAGCTCGCCTCTCATTGGTCAGCATCTTTCGTTAATAACTTGTAAACAAAGCCGCGGATCGTGTTTGCGCTAAGGAAAAAGTTACTTCAAATGACCTCAGGAACCCCTCGTTTCTCAATTGCGAGTGACTTTTGAGACACCCTGTATATTAAATAGGTGTAACAAATGGTGTGTAGAATTGTTAATATGTTAGCGATTAACTTACTACTTTCCCAGCGACTTCGGATGCATTTTTAGAAACGTTTTCTTTCAACGGTGCAGTCAGCGGCTGGCTGACAGGGGGCAGATTAGTATCGTGCCGACGAATTCTGCAGCTAGCATCTTGGCATCCGCCCGCGATAATAGTCCTGATGACTCTAGGAAGGTCCCAAATGGATGTCGCTTCATGAAGTGATCTGGCAGCCGGTCCGTTAGCGAAGAACGGTATTAGTTTGGCATCGGCCGTGCAGAGTCCGGCTACCACCATCAGCATATCTTGGGACATCTTAAATTTGCAAGATAATTTACAAACTATTATTATTATTGAACATGCATTTGACGCATGTAGAAATTTACTCGTGTCATTGTTTACTCAATTCAAATTAACTTCTTGAACATTAATCTCGATAATTAGTTTCATTGTCAAAGCAACATCGACGATCGAAAATTGATTTTCAAAAGTTTGCAAAAGAAGAAATCTTAATGGAATTATTAGAAAAGTTTGGAGCCACGTCGTGGTCTTTTCTTTCTATCGCGAATCTCAAATAGTACAGTGAAGAGCTTAAGAAAAGTTTGTGTGTGTGTGTGTGTGAATCTTCAGGACAACAAAATACTCCAGCAGATTAATATTTGTCCACTGTCATACAATAATTTCTTCTGTCGAATAGAAAAGCTCAAAAATTAATCCTTATTGTCAACATAATCACACCTATTTGTTAACATTGTTTGTTTAAAACAATTAAACTTAGTACACTAAAATATTGCTATTCAAATGAATTCTTTTTTATTCGGTATATTTAATCATTATGGTATGTATCTACTTTGAAATCTACTATAAAAATCTGTAAGCCTCTAAAGCTGCAATATTCTCGCCCTTCGCTGAAAAATATATATTTAATATACAGTGTGTGCAAAGGAACGTATGAGATCGAACTCGCGTTTCTGGAATTGACAACATAATAAAAATGCGATGACGTCTGTTGAGACGCGCGACTCTACTCTACATGCAGAGGTAGTTTACAATCGATAACATCAACACGTACTATTTTACTACGAAGTGCGTGTTAGCCATGTTGTTCACGCTATGGAAACGAAGTAATGAAATGTCGAATACCATTGCGTTACATGTTCCATCAAATATACAGATGGCGTAACAGGATTGAAAGAATTAAAACGTGCTATCGATGATACAGGCTTTTGGGTAGTGCACGCCTAGCATTTAATATTCGATCATATATCTGATGTCAAAAATATTTTTATTAATAATAAAGACAAAGTTCGATGGTAGAATTCATTCTACACGGCGTCCCAAAAATGTCTCGTAATCTGGAAATGGAGGGTTCCTAAGATCATTTGAAGCAAATTTTTCCTTGGCGAAAATGCAATCCGCGGCTCTGTTTGCGAGTTATTAACGAAAAACACTGACCAATAAGAATCGAGCTCGGTTGACGCGAGACGGTCCAGCCGACGAGTGCGCGAGGCCCAGTTTCGCTGATTGGCTCGGTCGTCTCACGCCAGCTGATCTGGCCTCTCATTGGTCGCTGTTTTTCGTTAATATCTCATAAACGAAGCCGCGGATTGCTTTTTTGCTAAGGAAAAAGTTTACTTCAAATAACCTCGAGAACCCCTTTTTCCGGATTGCGAGACATTTTTGGGACACCCTGTATATATAAAGAAAATACATTTGAAAATGAATATATTTGCTTCTTCTATAGTTGTATTATTATACTGTTTTTACAGTAATATGGTTATAACTCATTAGTTGCAGGATAAACAAAGATATTGATATTAAAAATTAGACGAGCAATTTCTGTATTGTCAGCCTTAGTATTAAAAAGTGTAACTAATAATTTTCCATATTATCCAAATTTTCGTATAACTTTTAGAAAATGCAAATAGAATATATTATTTTGTATTTTATAAAGAGATAAGAGCATATATTTTTTTTAATATATCGCCAAGGATCATATATCATGAAATCAAAGGAAAGTTACGTACCTCCCGTTGCAGAATCGCCATAGCGGAATTGAGTTCGCTCGCAGGCGCCGCTGCGACCAATATGAAGCCATTCTGGTTTTGGATCGACTTGAGTTCGCTAACTATATCAGCCAAATTGGACCACATCGGGCGCGATCTGCCGTAGGGATTCGACTCCTCTGAACCAGCAACGTTTCTGCCCAAGGATTCCAACAGGGAACGAAACAGCGCCGTTCTTATTCTGGAGAACATGTCGAAGACGTTCCATGCGGTATCCTCCGATCCTTTGATAAACAATCGAATAGGCGTTAATCCAAAACCTGATCGATATTTTCGTACACAGTGGAGCTCCGTTTGTAGGAACTTGGATTTATATAAATTCGATTTATATAAACACGATTTATCTGAGCTCGATTTAGATGAACACGATTCAGATGAGCTCGATTTATAAAAACTCGATTTAGATGAACTTCATTTTTCTGAGCCCGATTTATATAAACTCCAGTTATCTAAACTAAATTATAGTATATAAACTAGTTATCCTGAACTGAATCCTCTTATACAGGGTGTCCCATAATTATGTTAATTCCCAGAAAGAGGTGGTTCCTGAGGTCATTTGAAGTAACTTTTTCTTTAGCGAAAATGCAATCCATGGCTTTGTTTACGAGTTATTAATGAAAAGCAGTTACCAATAAGAGGCGTGCTCGGCTGGCACGAGGCGACCGAGCCAATGAGCGGAACTTGGCTTCGAGCGTTTGTTAGCTAGGCTGCTCATTGGCTCGGCCGCTCGTTGGCTCAGCCGCCTTGCACCAGTCGAGCTCGCCTCTGATTGGTCGGCATTTTTTTGGCCACCTCGCGTCAGCCGAGCCAACGAGTGATCGAAGCTCAATATCGCTCATTGGCTCGACCGCCACTCGCCAATTGATCTTCGAGTAAACTGTCTTTATTATAAAAATTTTAACGTGTAACTCTGCTTGTTGTATCACGATTTGTTAAACAAACCTATTCTTGCTACGAAATTGTACATCGATCACGTAACGATCTGTTGGAACTAACGATTGTAGTTGTCTTTAAGTAGATCGACAAATGTCACTGTTTACGGCTCAAACTTCTTGTTTTACGATTTCTTGGCCGAACGTATTCGTCAGAACTATGCTATTATTAATGATTTCCTACCAGGAAAAGGAATTATGTCTGCTACGAAATTAAATATGTTCATCGATCACAAGGAAATCTATAAGAAAACTAACGACTACAATTATTTTTCTAATTAGATCGACAAATGTCGCGGTTCACGATATTAACTTTTTTGTCTTACGATTTATTTTGCTACGAGGTTCACAAACCGATTTCGTTTTTAATGATTTGTTGCAACAATTAGTTTAACAATCATTTTAGTAATTTTTTATTTATTATTAAATTCTAATTTGGATCATCATCAGAAATATGACAGTATTCTATGACAAGGGATTAATCATATTTCAAGATACATGATCGACTCATTTGAATCATTTACACTTATTCCTTTGTACATATGTACTAAAGAAAAATAAAGAATGAAATATTTAATTGTTTCTACAGTCGCAAACAAAATTAAATACAGTTTATAACGTTTATAAGATTGGATCAGATCAATTTACGGTAGTTATAAAATTGGATCAAATTAATTTATAGTATTTACAAAACTAAATCAGGTTAATTTACAATATTTATATAATTGTATTTTTTAAATGATCAAGATTCGTTTTAAGATTCATAAAATTGGATCACATGTAAACTTCTACCAATTGTGATCGTTAAATAAGTCCAATTGTTAAAAAAGCTCACCCGTTTAATAAGTACAATTGTTTAAAAAAAACTCACCATCTTCTCGATTATTTGGCGAAAATGGCATCGCGGGGGCACGGTTGGCTGCTTTTCCTAAATCAATCACAAACCAGTCGCTGCGAATTTCAGGCTTAGCTTTACGAACGTTCAATTTCATGTTTTCATCCAGTTCGTCGAATTCCGCCGGAACGCTAACTGGCTCCTCAGAACGGAACAGCGATGGGATAGTGAAATTCGTATTTAACAGTGTGCCTGAATACAAATTAATGTTGTACACATTAAATTTGTGCATTCGAAATAGTTGAATATTGCTATTAATACACCTGAATAATTTAAATACAACTATTTTCATTCACTACAAACGAACAACAAATCAAATGTCATGCACAGGGAATATCGTTCAAACTTTCCCACAATAGAATCATAAACGAACATGCATTTCATAATTGAACAGATAAGAATGTAATTACTGTGAAATCATGTAGCACCTCAGTTTCAGGATTATTACGTTCAAGATCGTTTTTCATAATGCTGTGATTCAGAATCCTGTAGATGAAATTCCGATAGCTGAAGCGTTAACATTATTTTTTTAACTTAACCTGTTGTCATCCCTCTGACGTCACGGGCCCATAGCAGTAACGTAGCAACATTTGATCGTAAGTATCGCTCGCAATCGCATTCCGTGTCCATGCTTCCTCCAATCAATGCTTTGTCCAAGAAAAACCGCGTCGCTTCTACTTTGGCGTTATGGCAGCTCTACATGTTCAATGAGATATTTCCGTAAGAAATGTACAAGATTGTACACAATTCCACTCTACTATATCTA